ATTTGTTGAAATTTTTTTTTTTTTTATTATAAATTCGCGACGGCGATGACGTCATTTTTAAAATGTCGTTCGTTCGGCAACCATTTTTTTTTTTAAAAAGCGGAAATGATCGTGTTTAAATTGGGCCTTCAATGATTTTTGTGCCACGACTTCCTGCGGTTGCCCACAATGACCCAAAATGATTTAACCTTTTATTATTATTATTATTACTATTATCACTTATGATAAATTTTAAATTTTATATAATTTATTATTATTATTATTAATAATATTACATATAAATAAAATAATTGAAAACGATTAATAAAAATTCATGAAGAATATAAATAAAGAAAAAAAAAAGGGAAATCAAACAGACCGAATAAAATTATTGGCTAAAATCCCAGAAATTACAAAACATTATCATCATCGTCATCCTCATAACCGCCATCTTTTTTTTTTAAACGATTATTTATTTATTTATTTATTTTTTTCTAGAAAAATGTAAAGAATAACCGAAACATTATATTTTTTTTTTTGAAACAGGTGAAAATTTTCCCGGAGAAAAAAAGCAAAAAAAGGTTTTTCAGGAAAAACTTTTTATTGAAATTATTTATTAATATATTTTTTTTTTTTTTTTGATACATTTTGTTATGGGAAGTTTCAAAACAAAAAAAAAATTTCATATTTTCCGTGAAAATTTTACTCGTTTTATGACGTCATTAAAATAATAAATTACGTCAAAAATATGACGTTATAATTTATTCGATAAAAAAATTTTTTTTTCTTTTTTTTATATTTTACGAGTTCGTTTGAATTAGAGTGAAACAACAACAACAACAATAATAATAATGATGATGATAATGATGATGATGAAAATGAAAATCCGCAAAAACGTGGTCACGCATTCATAAAAAAAAAAAAAATTTTTTTTTTTTTTTTTAAAGTAATAAAAATTGAATTACGAATTTAAAACCTGAAATTTTTTGTTTTTTTTTTCTCTCTCTCTCTCTCTTTCTCTTTCTCTCTTTCTTTTCATTAAAAACAGATTTTTTTTTAACGGGAATCGAAAGGCAGCTGCATTGTAAATTTTAACACCCCCCCCCTCACGCACACGCACACACTCGAGCATTTCCAAACTAAGGCGCGCCTTTCATTTCTATTTCATTTATTTTTATTTTTTTCTTTCGACTGGAAAAAAAATTTTTTTTCTTTTCATAACAAAATCAAAAAATCAAAAATTGAATTTTTGATTAAAAAAAAGAAATAAAAAAAATTTAAATTTAATTTTCGTGAATGCAAACTTTTTTTTCCCGTTTTTTTTTTTCATGTCGTACAAAAAAAAAATTATTATTATTATTATCATCACGAGAATTTTTTTTTTAAATTTAACAAACGAAAAAATATAATTGATTGATAAAAATGAGACGGTGATAACGATGATAAAAAAAATTCGTACACACACACATACGTAAGCCTAATTAAACAAAAAATTTTTTCCTTTTTTTTTTCCTTTAATTTAAAGTAAAAGGAAAAAAGTTAAGAAAAGGTGAAAGAAAAGTTAAGAAAGACGTCAAGTGAAAACTTTTCAAAAAAAAGGAAACATTCCTCTAAAATAGAGGAAAGAATAAATTGATTAAAGAGTTTCGGAGTCAAAAGGAATCAACTTTTTGACAAATCAAAATCACTTTGACTTATTATTTTACTTTTTCCCTTTTTGAAAACCTTTTTTCCCCTCACCCCTCCCCTTCCTCCTTCCTCTCTTTCTTCCTTCATCCCCTCTTTAAAAAATTAATTTGTTTATTAATTAATTTATTTATTTATATTTTTTTTTCCTCTAATGAATCAAATGATTTTTTAAACTAATGTGAAAAAATTATTTCTTTGACCTTTCGTAACCTTTACCCTACTCCCCACCTACTCTCTCTCTCTTTTTTTTTTTAATTAAGTCGTGCCTCGTAAAAAAAACAAAAAAAAAAAAAATTTCTTTCAATTGACGAAAGAAAAAAAAAAAAAAAGGTTTCCCAACGTATAAAAAATTTATTTAACCTGGATTTAAATCGAAGAGACAAAAGTTTTTTTATGGACTGTTATGATCCCGTACTCAATATTCACATTTTCAACTTTTTATAAACAAAAGACTGGCGACGAACTCAAATTGTTCTTCTTTAGAAGCGAAGCTTCTAAAGACTCCTTCTTTTATTTTATTTGCAAGTGTTTGCTCGAACATTCGAAACAGTTGACTGACGAAAGACCAAAGTAATATAGGCAAGCTACACAGCTTGGCGTTGGTTCATTTGATTTTTAGTCTAGCTGTAATAAGTTCTTGTTTATTAATATTAGTTTTGTTAGTGATAGTTTTAAGTGCTTGTTCATTACTTACAAAAATAAAGAACGAACCGAATATAACATATTAAAATTTTGGCGCAGTCGATGAAGGATCATTCTGAACGACAAGAAACCGGAGAATTCTTAAGTAATTCGTTTCATGTTGGTGGGTTTTAACTCTTTATCAGAATTTCTTTATATTGTAAGTAGTAGTAATAGGTAACTCATTTTGTGAACAATGCCTAAACTTGATCAACCTGTTTTCAACCCATCCCAAATACCCCTTGATTTCTTGTGTAGTCTAATTCCTAATTTCTTTTCCGGAGAAAGGAACCAACTTAATGCATTTATCTCTGATTGTGATAATGCTATCGAATTGTCCTCTGAAGAGAATAAGTATCCACTCTTCAGATTCATCTACTCCAGAATCACTGGTAATGCCAAGATTCGAATTTCTTTGTACGATTTTGATAATTGGGATGACGTAAAAACGAAATTAATAGAATTATACCAAGACAAGAAACCCCATAGTCAACTGATAAAAGAATTGATTAATCGCAGACAAAAATCAACATGTATCCACTATGAAGATAACACAATAAAATTGAAGGAAAAACTTAAAATTTTAGAAGTTACAGAATCCAAACTTGAAGTTAAAGAGAAAACAGATCCTTTACCAGAATCCAAACTTGAAGTTAAAGAGAAAACAGATCCTTTACCAGAATCCAAACTTGAAGTTGAAGAGAAAACAGATCCTTTACCAGAATCCAAACTTGAAGTTGAAGAGAAAACAGATCCTTTACCAGAATCCAAACTTGAAGTTAAAGAGAAAACAGATCCTTTACCAGAATCCAAACTTGAAGTTAAAGAGAAAACAGATCCTTTACCAGAATCCAAACTTGAAGTTAAAGAGAAAACAGATCCTTTACCAGAATCCAAACTTGAAGTTAAAGAGAAAACAGATCCTTTACCAGAATCCAAACTTGAAGTTAAAGAGAAAAGAAGCACCCTCTACAAATCCAATCTAAGATAAAGAGAAAACAGCACCCTCTACAGGATCAATTTCTCTAAAGAGGCTAAAAAGCACCCTCTACAAATTTATCTAAGAAAAAGGCTAAAGAAGCACCCTCTACAAATTTATCTAAGAGAAAGGCTAAAGAAGCACCCTCTACAAATTTATCTAAGAGAAAGGCTAAAGAAGCACCCTCTACAAATTTATCTAAGAAAAAGGCTAAAGAAGCACCGTTACTTCCTAAAAATAAAAATAAGAAAAAAGGTCTAAAAGTAAAAGAAGAAAGATCATCCATACAGAATTCAAAACCTAAAAATCATCCTAAAGCTGAAATTCAAAAGGAAACAAAAATTTCAAATAAAAATATAGGAGCTACTAAAAAAATTCACAAGCATAATTTTGGGAAGCATACTAAAAAGCGGAAATGGAATTCCAGTACCAAGAAATCTAGGAAGAAAGCATCCATTCTTATGTCAACCGATTTTCACGAAGAGAATATTCCTGAGGTAAAGCTATTTTTACTAAGTAAAGTTCACCTATCGTCTAATGAAAAAGAGAAGATTCAAACCAGTCAAAAATTAGCAAGAACAAATCCAATTAAAAATAACATAAGAGTCAATGAAAAACTTAGTCCTGAATTTAAGGATCCATACGAGGTCAAGAAAAAATCTGGCAAAAATGTTTTATTAAAAATCCGTAACAAGGAAGTTAACAACACAAAACCGTGTTCTGAGTAGTTGATCTAAAGAGAGAGAAATCCAAAATAATAATAATTTAATCCTTTTATTTTCCCATACAGCTAATCATCATTTATTTTATTATTAATCCATTTATTCTTTTTCTAATCATTATTTATGTTTCCTATATAAAATTTTTATATTTTTTAGAACTTATGTCAATTTTGTTTCGAATTTTATGTCTCATAATTTTATTCTTTTATCTTTACTCTTTATGAAACATTGTTCACTAACGAGTATTGCCTAGGAAAGGTTCTACTACTTGCAGCTATAAAGCTTAAAATGATGTTCCTGATAAGAAGCCAATGTGAAGAGATACAACAGTCTACCATACAGAAGACATAGCACCTACTACTACTCAAGGAGTCTCAACCTGGACGGAACCATTCAGAACCCGACATAGGAAACTGTCAAATCCGAACAAGAGGAGAAAACAAATTCTTTTTTCAAAATAATTGTTTTCCGTCTTAAGGGGGGAGGTGTTATGATCCCGTACTCAATATTCACATTTTCAACTTTTTATAAACAAAAGACTGGCGACGAACTCAAATTGTTCTTCTTTAGAAGCGAAGCTTCTAAAGACTCCTTCTTTTATTTTATTTGCAAGTGTTTGCTCGAACATTCGAAACAGTTGACTGACGAAAGACCAAAGTAATATAGGCAAGCTACACAGCTTGGCGTTGGTTCATTTGATTTTTAGTCTAGCTGTAATAAGTTCTTGTTTATTAATATTAGTTTAGTGATAGTTTTAAGTGCTTGTTCATTACTTACAAAAATAAAGAACGAACCGAATATAACAGGACGTTTTAAATATTTAATATTACGGTGGTAAATTTTTTAAAGGGGTAACTTAAAACAAGGGTTGAAATTTAAATAATTAATTAAGTGTAAATTTTAAACGAATTTAAAAAAAAAACACAATTTTTTTTTAAACTGACGTGAATATGTTTGAGTCAAAAACGACGGTAATTAATTACGTAATAATTAAAATAATTAGTAATTTTTTTTAAAAATTTAATGAAACGCGTTTGATGTATTTATTATTATTTTTTTTTTTTTTTTTCAAACCGAAAAACATTTGTTTAGTAATCAACGTTGGAAAATTTTCGAATCGTATTTATATATTCAACTAATAAAAACTTTTATAAATTAACATAAGAAAAATAATTTTTATATACTAATTTCAATATAATTATAATTCTTCTTAGAAGAAAGATTTTAAAGTAATTTGTAAAATTAAATTTTTTTTTTGTTTTTTGTTTTTCTTTTTACACGTCGCCTTGTATTTTTTTACATTAAATTTTTTTTTTTTTTTAAACGAACGAAAAAAAATAAAAACCGGAAATTATAGTAATTAATTAATAAAAAAATTATTAAATTTTTCTTTAAGATAATTGACGGTAATCAAAGAACCGACGTATCAAATAGAAAAGAACCTGGTTTATTTTGTGGAGAAATTGAACAACCGCAAACTTTTATATCGGAAACTTCGTTTGTTAAACTTGTTTTCTACACGGATAATTTTACAGACCAAACATATTTTAGTTTCGATACGAGAGCAGAACAACCCTACGAAGTTTACCTGCGATACGGTCAACATCCAGAGCTTTATCCAAACAGAAGAGGAAAAGTTGATTCATCCGGAGGGTGAGTAACAGCAAAAAAAAAAAAAAAACGCGCGCCAAAAAAAATTATTACTTTAATTAAAAAAAGTAATTTAATTTTTTTTTTTGTTTGAATAATTTAGAAGTTATTGTGAAAGAAGTTTTGAAGATTGTAAATTACAAACGTGTTACGTTCAATCTCCAGCTTATCCTGGAATTTATCCTAGAAATTTGCATTGTAAATACCATTTGAACACCAGGCTGCCTTTTATTAAACTTTACATTGAAAATGAAGAATTTAATATTGACGGTCAAAGGTGTGAAAACATAATGACCTGCCCAATGAGATCCATTTCTTCAGGTTTCTAACATTTATTCATTTATTTTTTACTCGTAACATTTTTTTTTTTTTAAACAATTTTTAATTATTTATAATAAATAAATAAATAATCAGGTTCGCAACATTGTCCATATGATTACATAAAAATATTTGATGGAACAAACGAATCGAGTCCGGTCATAGGTACTTTTTGCGGTATGGGTAAATTTCCTTATTCAATTATCGGAACTGGAAGAGATTTATTTGTTGAATTTGTTAGTTCTCCAGCTGGTCCATTACTTAATACAGGATTTCATTTTAACGTTGGTAATTGGCCCGGACACGTTGAAACAGCTGGTAATAATAATAATAATAATAATATTTTTTTTTTTTATTTTTAATCGATAAATTTAAAAAGAGAATAAAATGTTAAGGTTATAAAAATGGCACGTGTAATTGGATATTAACAAGCGAAGCGTTAACACAATCAAGGGATTCTGAGGGTATATTTTTATCGGTGGCACATTGGTATCCTCCACACACGTCATGCACTTATCTCATGTTGGGACAAAAAAATCAAATCGTACGATTGTATTTTCCAAGGTTGATGATAATTTTTTTTCAATTTTTTATTTTTTTATTTTTTTTTCTTAAAAATGGAGTTTTTATTTATGTATAAAAAAAAAAATTTTTACAGTTTTAGAATAAATAGAATTGAATCTCCGATATCACCGATCGAAGGAGATTGCGGAGAATCATTAACTCTTTACGATTCTTCTTGGCCTGATGATTCTAAAATAATAAAAACATTTTGTGACACGTTTTCAAGAGCAATGGAAAAACATGATTTCGTTTCAACCGGAAACGCATTATTCGTACGTTTCGAAAGTAAAACTGGAAGTTATTCAGGGTTAGTAAACAGTTTTAAAAACACATTAAATAAATAATATAATTTTTTAATTTACGACAGAAATAAGGAGTTAAAAATGAAAATAAATTAGAGAGAGAAAAAGAGCTAGTGGGTGACAGATCAATGTTTTGGAAACCATTTTGAATATTTTCGGTATATATATATATATTCATCGTGACGTGACTTAAAATTTAACAATTTTTAATTTCAATTCCTTTTTCTCTCTCTCTTTTAAATAATAATAATAATAGTATTATTTAATTTAAATTTTATCCTTTTCTCTTTATTTTTTTTTTATTTCTTATTTTAAAAATAAATTGAATTTGAAATTAAGTCCGTTTTCTTTAGAAAACTGATTTTTTTTATGTTAAATAATACGATTAACATGGAGAATAAGGAAAAAAGAAATTTTTTAAATTGCGAGTTTTTTTTTTTCTATAAATTTATTTGTCTACAGGTCATCTTTATATTATTGGGCACATTATGATTTTTTTAATAATACGTCATCTGGAGAAAGAGTACCGAATACAGCTTGCGACGAAGTTTTTCCAAGTTGGAAACATCCAAAAGGTATTTTAAGATCACCGTATAACACTTTGGTTTATAAAAGACAAGGAAACGCAAATCAAGACATAACATGCCTCTATAGATTTATAACAGATAAAAGACTGTATGCCCGCATTGTCCTAACAGTTGAATCAATCAACTTTAAAGTAAGTTTAAATAAATGTCGGTTTGAATAAAATATTGTGTGGCGTTATATATTTTAATTTTCTAAAATAATAATAAATAAGGGTAATATTTGATACGTGTAATCATTTTTAGGATCATCCGTATAATACTCCTTGCACGGAATGTTGGGAAGAACGTTTGGATAAATTACTGATTTGGGAACCTCAAAATAATACATCAGTTTTTCATACGCCCGGAGCATCGTGTCTTTGCAAAAATAGTTCTGTTTATTCAGGTAAAAGTGTGAAAACGATCATTTCAAAAGGTGAAAATTTAAATATGCAGTTAATTGTTGAAGGAACTCATGCAGCGAGTAGTTATTTTAAACATTCCACGCCATTATTTGAAGCGAGGTAATTTTTTTTTTTAAAAGAAAATATAAAATGGTTTCGTGCGTTTAATTGTTAAATAATTAATTAATTAATTAAATGTTCTTTTAAATTAAAGATACGAATTCGTACACGGGCCTTTATGTGGGCCTTCAATACTTTTGCCGGCAACAGATGGTGAACTTCATTTCCCTCATTACGAAGCTCTTGGTTTTGTTGAACCTCCCCGCTACCTCAGATGCCTGTGGGAAATTAGAGTTAATGAGAACAGAGATATTTGGCTTCACTTTGATAAATTCATGTTTACATCCAGAAACTGTGACGATGGAAAATTAAGAGTTTATTTACCCAGTAACTTACTACTTTGAAAATTTTTTATTTACACACGTTTTTTTTTTTCAACTTTAAAACATTTTCCAAAATTTAATTTTTAAAATAGGTAAAGTGGAACCGATTTTAACCGTTTGCGGAGAAAATGTTAGCGCACTTAAAGATATGCCCATATTGACATCGATGCAATTAAGTCAAGGTTTATCAGAATTCGATCATAGAGCTGTTTTTGTCGAATTTGAAGGCACTGGAACTCCAGCAAGAGCGGCATTTAAAATTGCTTGGACCGAATTATTTCACGTTGATAGAAATTCAGCGGGTTTGTTAACTTCCCGTCTCACTAAACTCGAGGTGATTTTTTTTTTTAATTTATTACTTATAATCCTCATAGACGTTTACTGTGTAAAATCCCTAAAAAATTTTTTTACGTTACAAATAATTCTATGTAAATTTACAGGAAACTACAGATGACGGTTGCGAGTTTCCCTGTCCCGGAGATTCTGGATTATGTATTCCGATTCGACTTGTTTGCAACGGTGTAGCAAATTGTCCTAACATAACAGGTTGATAATTTTATTTTTATAAATTAATTTCAATGTCGTTTTATAAAATTAATACTTCTTTATAACCTGATACAGGAGGTCCGAGCGGCGACGAACATCCTGAATTATGCATAAGCACAGAAACAGAAAATGATAGTTGGTTAGCTGTAGGATTAGGAGCTGCAGGAGGTGTTTGTTTTGCAATTATTTGCTTTGCATTATTGTGCCGCTCTTTATGTCGTAAAAGATCTACGGAAGACATTCACGTGCCTTATTAAAAAAAAAAAAATAATTCTTATATGACTGCATTAATATTTGAATGCAATCATTTTATTAAATTAAATTATGTAAATGTAAAAAAAAAAAAACCAAATAAATCAAAAAATATATATATATATATGTCTGGCATTGTTAATAATTAAAAGGAAGTGAAAAAATATAAAAGTACAAAAAAAAAAAAATTTGCAAAAGTGAAAGTGAAGTTACATCTGAATTACATCCATTTTTTTTTCTTCTTCTTCTTCTTAATTGAATCCATCAAAATTATTTATTGCACGGTAAAATTTGAAAATAAACAAATGGTAGGTTATTTAATTTTTAATGAAAGAAAAAAAAAAAAAAAGAAAAAGAAAATTAGTTGCTCATTGTATTGTTTATCGTTTTATTTATTTATTTTTTTTTAATTCACTTTAAAAAATTTTTTGTTTTTAAACTCAACGGTTATTTTTAAAATATAAAAATGTTTGTGTTGAGTTATAATTAAATTAATATTTTTTTATTAAAATATCTTTTCAGGTATAAATTTATTTATTTCTTTTTAAAAATGATGAGTATTTTTTACAAAATGATGGAAACAAAATAATAATATTTTATTTTTTTGGAATAAAATTTTATAATAAATAATTCGATTTTTTTCTTTTTTTTTTTAAATTTTTTTTTTATTATTGTGAAAAATCCTTTAAACTATTTTCTTTCATAGAATAAAAATTCAAAATTTAAAAAGAAAAAAATTTTATGTTGGTAACACTGTACTATAATACGTTAAACTGTGTTTACATTTTTAAATGCTAAGATGTTGAATATAATTTAAATTCAGTAGGATATTAAATTTTTTTTTTTTTTATTATTAATAAATTTTTTAATTATTATAAATTAATTTATTTAGTTTTAATGAAAATAATAATTTTTTTTATTAGAAATTTTTAGTATTCCAAATTACATATAAATTTTTTTATTATTTATTTTAGTATCGAAATGAAAATTCTTAATTTCAATGTAGGACTATTGGGTCACGTAGATTCTGGGAAAACATCTCTTGCAAAAGCTTTAAGCAGTATTTCTAGTACTGCTGCTTTTGATAAAGACCCACAATCACAAGAAAGGGGTATAACATTAGATTTAGGATTTAGTTCATTTAGTGCACCTGTACCTTCTCATTTAACCAACTCACTTTTCGACAAAGTTCAGTATACCTTAGTTGATTGTCCTGGTCATGCATCATTAATAAAAACAATTATTGGTGGCTCACATATAATTGATTTGATGATTTTGGTTATTGATGCATTTAAAGGATTTCAAACTCAAACATCAGAATGCCTTATACTTGGTGAAATTATGAATAAAAAAATGATTGCAGTGTTAAATAAGGTAAAGAGTTTTCAAAATGTACTGATAATCACTTAAATTTTTTTAAAAATTAAATTTATTTATTTTTTAATAACTCTTCAGGTTGATTTATTAAAAGATAAAAATTCAATAGAAAAATTAAAAAAAAAAGTAGAATTAACTTTAAATGGCACAATTTTTAAGGGATGCCCCATAGTAACTGCTTCTGCATTAAACAATGATACAAATGAATTAACAGATGCATTATTAAAAGCAACATTCATTCCTGAACGAAGTGCCGATAAGCCATTTTTGTTTGCCGTTGATCATTGTTTTGCATTAAAGGGTAAAGGAACCATACTAACAGGTAAGTGAAATGTATTTTATCATTACTTTTATTACATACACTGTTTAAAATCAAATCATTTGCAATACAGTATTTACAAATATAATTTGAAAAAATTATTTGATTTTGTTACTTTTAAAAAAATTTAAATTTTAGGTACAGTTCTCCAGGGAAAAGCAAAAGTAAATGATGACATCGAAATTCCTTCCATAGCTTTAACTCGTAAAATTAAATCAATAGAAATGTTTAAAACTCCAGTAGATTCGATAATGCAAGGCGATAGAGCTGGAATATGTGTAACAAAATTTGATCCGAAAACATTAGAAAGAGGTTTAGCATGCGAATTAAATTACTTGCCTAAAATTTATGCAGCCATTATTGATTTTAATAAAGTTAAATATTACAAAAGTGATATATGTTCAAAATCAAATTTTCATATTAATGTAGGATATGAAAATGTCATAGCCAAAATAACTTTATTCGGATGTGAAAAAAATTCAGGTACAGATTAATTATTGTGAGGTTTTTTTTTTTTTTTCAAATTGTTGTGTTTATTACTATTACTATTACTTTTTTTTTTGTAGATGGTGCATCTGAGGAATTTGATTCAAAAAAAGAATATAAATACATTTCGGAATATATTGAATCAAATGATTTAAAAAATCAAAATTTATATTGTTTATTAGAATTTTCAA